AAAATTATGGTGTTAGTGAAGTACTGTGGATTGCCAGATAGAAGCCCTGGTGGCGTAGTAAATTATACATTGCATATTCGACTAGTAACCACAAGGTTACCAGTTCAAGGATATCATCTGTTCCTCCAGAGAAAGATGAGGCTTTCTACTCCCATACATAAAGAGTTATAGTCTCAGAAACCCACGGGGGCAGTTCTACCCTGTCCTGTAGGATCACTGTGAGTTAAAATGGACTCAATGATGATGAGTTGATGGTTTTGGTTTTGGTGGACTGCCTGAACAAACTACCGTATATACTCATGTATAAGCTGAGCTTTTCACTACATTTTTATGCAGTTTTTGTGGTAAAATTAGGTGGCTTATACTCGAGTATATGCGGTAATCTCTATTGAAGGAGTGCACTCAGAATGCTCCTTAGAAGTGAGGATGGTAAGACTTCATCTCCATTAATTTGGACATGTTATTAGAAAACACTAATATAAAAAAAAAAAGGAAGAAAGAAAGACAACACTAATATCTGGGAAAATGTAATCACGTGTGGTGAATAGAGAGAGAAGAAGACCCTCAATGAGATGACTGGCACAGTGGCTACAACATTGGGCTCACACATAACGATTATGAGGGTAGAACACATGTTTCGAGTCACTAGGAGTCAAAACCACTCAGTGGCACCTAACAACAATAGCAGATAGTTTCTTCCAGTTTCCCTTAAGGATTTGTAGTTTCAGTTTAAGTGGTCCTTAGCATATCACAATATAATTTTTCCTCGTGTCTTGCTCCAATAGAAATTTCTTTCCAGTAGCCCTCTTTATCTTTTGCAGACTTGGGCTTTGCCAAAATCACTCTTATTTTCTGGGGTCTTAGGACATTTCAAAATGTGGGCATTCTTTCATTGCTTTTCATTGTTCAATTTGCATTTACTACAATGTGGATTCATAACATTGGCTCTGAGAAAAACTACTTGTTGGATTTCTTCACTCTTAGATTATTTCACACTCCGAGGTAATGGTGTTTTGCAAGAAATGTCCTTTTCTCAAAAATCTTCTCTAAGTTTTCAGGTTAAAGTAATCGCTTTAAACTGATTATGGTGATGATTGCCCAACTCTTCTTGATGTTACTGAACTATTGGATTGTATGGTATGGGAATTAATGCTAATCAAACTAAATGAATAAATAAATAATCATTTGAACTGTTAATAATGTTATGCTCCTAATGGTATGTAAGTTTTACTCAAAAGATAGCATGTTTGGAATAACAACGTGAAGGTGTGTATGGGTGATCTATTTGTTTCATTTCTAGGGTTCAGCTACCCGGACGGACCATGAAACAGCCAGTGTGCTGAGTGCTAGCAGCACACACTCTGCTCCCCGAAGGCTGACAAGTCACCTGGGAACCAAGGTAGCGGGAGATTACAAATCTAGATGGCTAATATTCCACTTCACTCAAACATTGTTCATACTCATTTTTAATGCAACTGGAAAAGAATTCTGATATCATCACCACTCTCTGCTAAAGAAATTATAGCTTTGTACTAATACATATAAAATTTTATAATATAGATAAAAATGAAGAGGTAAAATTGCCAAATTAGCTAATTTTTTAACCTTTTCTAGTCTTATTATCCGTTTCTCTACAAGCGTGTTACCAAAAAAAACCCCTCAAAACTCACTGCCATTGAGTAGATGCCACCTCATAGTGACCCCGTAGGGAAAGTAGAACTACCTTGTGAGTTTTTAAGACTGGGGCTCTTTACAGGACTAGAAAGCCTGTCTTTCTCCAGAGGAGAGACTAGTGTTTTGAACTGGAGAGTTTGTATATCACAGCCCAAAGCCTAACCACTCCGCCACCAGCGCTCTCTACAAGTATCTTAAGCTTCAGCTAAAGTGGCTTACTCAGCAGTGTACACTCCCATAGTTTTCTGCCCCTGTGCCTTGCTTTGGTGGCACATACCTCCCTTGTATACATCACATCCTCTACTACACAGTGACAGAATTCTTGCTGGCACTCAAAACTCTTCTTTATAAAACATTTTCTCATCTCCAAAGTCCTTTATGTCCACATACAATCATCCACCCCTTTTAAATCATTAACAGTTAACATAAAATTTTCTTTTTGTGAATAGGGCTTTTTTTTTTTTTTTGCAGCACCTACAATGAATGTTTAATGATTGTTTGTTGGAGTGGCTGAAAGAAATTATTGACTGTTTTTCAAAATGAGCTTCCCTAAGGTATTATAGCAATTAGCAGAACTTAATCATATGGAAGCCTGGTGCCACAGAGGTCACATACTGAGCAGTTCAAAACCAACAGCTGCTCCACAGTAAAAAGCCAAGTCTTTCTACCCTTGTAAAGACACCCTCATGGAAGCCCACAGGGACAGTTCTACCCTGTCCTATAGGGTTGATGTGAGTCAGAATTGACATGATGGCAGTAAGTAAGAAATAATACATTTGAAAGGAAACCGATTTATTTTTGTTTTAAGGCTAAAAGCTTTAATATTATATGAAGAGGCATCAAAAAGCTTGTGAGAAAATTCTATTATATGTTCATTTTATTTTCTGAAGACTTTTTGAAGTCCCCTCATATTAACTAAGATAAAATTCTACTAATGTATTTTCATTTAAATCTAGGTGATTCTGTTGTTTTCATAGTGTACTCTAAATAGCCTTTATTTTATGTAATAGCCTAAGTGAAAGTAGTACTGAAATAACTAATGTTAATTTAAGAAATGTTTTAGAGTACTCAGTCATATTGTCAGTATGAAACTTGATCCTGTCAATAATGCCCAGTAACTTCTACAAGGGAACTTTTGCATGCTAGGCTCTGGGCTGGGAATTTTATGTACATTATCTCTGATCTTCTCAAAAACACTCTGAAGTATTCTTATCTTTTTTTCAATGAGAACACCAAAAGCAAGAAAGGTTCAGACAGCTATGCTATAACTAAACCAGAATTCAGCCCCAGATTTATCCAACATCAATACGTTTTTACTATAGAGAATACTTAACTAGCAGTACAGTTGTAGGAAACTAGCAACTAGAATCTGCTTGTGACGTGATTGGAACGGTGGTGGCACAGTGGCTAAGCTCTTGGCTACTAAGTAGAGCTCAGCGGGAAGAACTCATCAGCCATTCCACAGGACCAAGTTGGTGCAGTCTGCCTCTACCCCATGTACATGAGTACAGTCTTGGTAACCTATACACAGTTGGTCCTGTAGAGTCACTGTGAGGTGGGATGGACCCAATGGCAGCAGATTTGGTTTTTGGTTTGGTTTGAAGAAATTTTGCATGTACTGCCTTATCCATTGCTGTTATTTAATCTCCACAGAAAGAAGCTAATTATTTAGATCCGTGGTTCTCAAACTTCCTAATGCTGGGACCCTTTATTACTGTTAGTTACTCATGTTGTGGTGACCCCCAACCATAAAATTATTTCACTGCTACTTCATAACTGTAATTTTGCTACTATATTGAGTCAGGTGACCCCTGTGAAAGTGTCTTTGGATCCCCAAAGGGGTCACAACCCACAGGTTGAGAACCGCTGATTTAGATAATTCCTCTATTTTATAACAAATAAATTGAGGCCCAGAGAAATCAGATAATTTGCAAAGAGCTAATTTGTAAGTGATGAACTTTGAATCCAGGGCTGGTGAAAGTCCATTTTTACACAGTGCTATACTCCCTTCCTCATACTTTCTTATCTGCAAGTATGTTTATGTTAACACATTCAGAGCAGTTTCTCCACCTCAGCACTGTTGGCTGTTCTGGGTGTTGTAGAATGTTTAGCAGCATTCCTTGCCTTTACCAACTGTATGCAAGTAGCACCCCTTACCTCTCAGTTGTGACAACCCCAAATGTCTCCAGATGTTATCAGATGTATTGTAGGGGTCAAAATCACCCCCAATAGAGAACCACTGATTTGTAGAGATAATAATCTATACTCAAACCTTGAAAGGAGGCTTATCAGAATCCACAGTAGTTACCCTTTTCCCCCGAAAGTAAGACATCCCCCCAAAATAAGACCTACTTACAGTTTTGCCTCTCGCTGAAATATAAGGCACCCCCCGAAAATAAGGCCCCCCCGAAGCTACTGTAACTCTGGATCATAGCTGCGAGTGCCGCAGCACAGCCGGAGCAGACAGGAAGTGCGAGGTCTCTTTTAATAGAACAATAAGCTTGTACCGTATTCTTCTTCATGGAAAAATAGGACATCCCCTGAAAATAAGACCTACTGCATCTTTGGGAGCAAAAATGAATATTTAAGATTCTGTCTTATTTTCAGGAAAACAGGGTAGTTGCTGCTTCCTGTTTCTAATCTGCTTCTAAGTAAATTCTTAAATTGAATATGAATAGCCTTAATAGCAATTTTGTCAAACTCCCTATAGAACAGAGTATTTGTTTCTTTATGGTAGAACATTTTTACATATATGAATGTAAATCATCTTAATAACATTTAATTATAATCTGATGAGAATTAGAGTGCTGAGAACTCATTGACTCTCACTTTTTGCCTTCAAGTGGATACTGACTCAGCAACGCTGTAGGACAGAGTAGAACTACCCATGTGGCTCTGAGGCTGTAAATCTTCCTCAGAGCAGAATGTCTCATCTTTCTTCCAAGGAATGGCTGATGGTGTTAAAATGCTACCTTGCTGTTACCAGCCCAATGCATAATCCACTTCACCCACAAATGCTCCTGCTGAGAACTAGTACTTAATAAATAGAAATTGTTGCAGAAGTGTTTTCTGTTTATTATAATTACAGTTTTAAAAAGTAAAAAATGGTAAACTGTCTAAAGTACTTAGATAATGCATTTTCCTCACTGTGTGAAATCCGTTTACATACTAGTCAGTTATTATAATCAACAATGATCACCAACAAACCCACACAAATAGTATACCGGTATATATTGAAGTATACCAGCACCTACTAACTCTTTCTGTATACTATGTCTATACTATTTACTCATAAAAACAAATGTCTATTATCTGGATTTTGAAATAACACTCATTACTTCATCTTGGAAAGGTGGGGCGGGGGGTTGTTTTTTGTTTTAAATTACAGTAGTAATTATCCCATTCATCACTTCATTGCTTGTGGCTTTTGGATATTAAAGTCATAATTTTGTTTCTGAACTCATTTGGCCCACAGGTGGAAATGGTGTATTCATTGTTGTCAATGCTTGGTACTCATGATAAGGATGATATGTCACGAACTTTGCTAGCTATGTCTAGCTCCCAAGACAGCTGTATATCCATGCGACAGTCTGGATGTCTTCCTCTGCTCATCCAGCTTTTACATGGCAATGACAAAGACTCTGTATTGTTGGGAAATTCCCGGGGCAGTAAAGAGGCTCGGGCCAGGGCCAGTGCAGCACTCCACAACATCATTCACTCACAGCCTGATGACAAGAGAGGCAGGCGTGAAATCCGAGTCCTTCATCTTTTGGAACAGATACGAGCTTACTGTGAAACCTGTTGGGAGTGGCAAGAAGCCCATGAACAAGGCATGGACCAGGACAAAAATCCAAGTACGTTTGTTTATAGTCTTACAACATAGTACATGTTACGCCACAATATCAAATCTTTAGAAAAGAAAACTTAGGTTAGTATGTTGTCTTCATAAGTGGAGGGGGAAATTCTTATTGTTTAGCTCTACTGCCATTGGAGTCAGTAAATTTAGTCATAAAGCTACAGCTAAATTTCCCTAGAAAAACTTAGTTATGGAAAATGTTATATGCCTATCTAAGCAACCAGAAAGAAGTAAAGATACAGAGTGACATCTAGAACCAGAGCATAACAAAACTAGAAATAATTTGAACAATTCTGTGACCTACCCATAATAGCTGATATATTATAGTGACCAGATCATAACTTTTTACACATATATATCTCTCTTAGTGGACACACAGCTATGTTATGTCTGGTGTATTATTGAATACAACAGTTATTTATATATATAGGGAGGAAAGGTCCTAGCATTTCCATGTTAACAGTTGGTGAAACTGAAGTTTAGAGAGGCTAAATAGTTTGTTCATGGCTTCACAGCTAGTTAGTGGAGGGGCCTAGAACAGAGGCCAGATCTTTACTCTCAGTGTGGTGCTCTTCCTACTGCACCAACCTGCGCCAGGTGATGGGCCCCACCTACTGGGTATAATCAGTCACCCAGCCCTTTGCTTAGGGAAAAACCCTTGCCCACCAGCCCCTCTCCCTCAGGAGCAGGGAACAGGAGAACTGAGATCCCTGGAAACATAACTTACTTCATTCCTGTAGCGAAGAGCCCAGAGCAGTAAGTATTAAAGGTAAGAGCTTTGCCATGAAAATTGAGCTTATAGACCCAGTATCTTCAACCTAGCAGTGAACTTAACATTTTCCCTTGAATTTTCATTGGGATTCCAGGGTCAAAGATAAGTAGAAACATAAACATAGATGCAAGCTATTGATAATGAGGAACAGGAGAAGAGAGTGATGGCGCCAATATAATTTGCCAAATTATTGTTTAAGTTTAGATGTAAGGGTGATTTTTCAGAAACAGAGTAAGGAAGTCATAATCCTCGGTTATTGGAAAACTTAGGGAAATGTGATAGGGATGAAGAGAACTAAGGAAGTACTTTACTAAGAGGACACGGTCCTTTTGGGTTTTCTTTAGTTATCCAAGTGATGTATTACCAACATTCTGTGATCTTTTGATGCCTGTCTCAAACAGTAAATAAAATAAATTCATGTTACTGCTAGAAAACAGACTTGTAAAAGTTATTTTATTTCAAATAATGAAGTTTAAAGCCTATGCACAATATTTTATGTGGAGTATGTTTTATTGGACACTTTAATTTTTTTCTATTATCTATTTATATAATAAACTTTCTCTGCTGGGTACCATATTTGGACATAGCCACATGCTATTATGCCGCACAAGATAATAGTGTGAATAAGAAGTGGAAACAAAGGTTAACAGTTTTGTACCAAAATGCTTTTTATTCTTTCATTTACTCAACATAATTTTAAATGATTAATTGCTAAGTCTTTTTCTAACAGACTAAGTCAAGGGCAGATGAATGATAAACATTTTTATAGAACCAAGAAAAAAGCCCATTTTCCCGTCCATTTTTTCTAATTCATTCAACAACTATCTGTTGACCCTAAACTGCTGTGCATCAGAGGCATATTAGTGACCTCTGTGTATTAACATCATTGTTTTTGAGGTAACAAGACATTACGATGTATGTCAATTTTCTTTTTCAGTGCCAGCTCCTGTTGAGCATCAGATCTGTCCTGCTGTGTGTGTCCTAATGAAGCTTTCATTTGATGAGGAGCACAGGCACGCAATGAATGAGCTTGGTAAGATGGAAATGCTCCTGAATGCAAGCTGATTTTTAAATGATGACACAAGTTCAGTAAGATAAATGAAGATTTTTTTTAATCATTGATGAACTGGAGTAGAAGTTCGTCAACCGGGGTATGAAGCCGCTAACTTCTGTTACCAGCTGCTTTCTCCTTGAAGCAAATGATAGGTGCCAGTTGTCAGAGGAAAAGGGGTCCTGAATCATAGAGACTGCTACCTTGTTACAACGTTAACTTGGATTTTCAAAGTGTTAGCCAAAGATTGGAAAAATTGTATCATTCTTTGTCCCCACTGCCAAGGTAGGCTCTCTGTGACAGTTGGAAAAGAGTCACTTTATTTATTCTGAAATGTAGTTAAACTTAATGGTTTGCAGAACTTAGTAGCTTCTGAATAACACCAGGAGGAATTACTATTAAGATTCTCTTATTGTTAAAATGTCATCATAGTTAATAGTGCTGTACTAGATTTTCATGATGAGCAGCATGATAACTTTGAAACTAGTTTATATAGAAAAATATGGTCAATTTAAATTAGAAACATTTCATTAATATTGAAAGAACTACTTTTAGGTACATATATATCACACACTAGAAACCTTATATAGACCTGCATTTCCGCACCCCATTTTTCATGTAACAGTTTTTCTTTGACTTCTAGGTTCATTTTGCACATGTGGTTTTATAAATGCATCGTGCTGTGCCATCTCATGTGAACTGGATCTCTAGTCATGCCACAAGCAAGAAGCATACACTGAATTTCCTCTTGTGTAGCTGTGCCCTTGCTTTTTATGCTGTTTGTGTGACATTACACTCCAGCCCCACTTTGTATTTCTATCACCTCATTGTTGTCATTCATCGTTTATCTTAAAGGTGATACAGTCATGAGATTCATTTAAACCCGATAACCGAACATCCACAAACAAGTGTTGTCTCCTTCAGAGTCATCACGTTGGGAGGCTCTGTACTTGGTGCTTTCAGGCCTGCCCTCCATCCTTTACTTTCCACAGACCCAGTGACCTTTCCTCCCCGGCCTTCTGTGGAACCAGTATAATCTGACATGTTCTCCCTTCCTCAGTACTATCCCAGCATTTCTAAAAAGTTTTAAGTTTTTTTGTGTCTCTGTGTGTGTTTTGTTTTTAATGCTAGTAATAAAATGGGAAGGGGGTAAAAATTATGAATAAACAGGAAAATTATTCCAATTTTAAGACACTACATAAGTTTTTACATAATGTTCCTGTGTTCCAATGGACTATAGACTAGGACTGACACAATAATCATCTGAATTTGAAAATAAAACCTAGACTCAGTATTTGTTCCTCTTCCTTCTTCAGGTAGGAAGGCTACCCGGGGCATTTCATCACAGGAGCTAGGGCAGGGGCTTTCAGGTGAGGAGCAGGATGGGGCCTCTGGGGGTGTGATTGCCTGGGACATAGCCAAGGGGGATTAACTTCTCTTTCCTAGCCTCTGAATTTAACAAAGGGAGGATCAAGGTTTGCATATTGGGGGGAGGTGCAGTATTAGACAGTACAAGGTATCTGGCCTCTAGGGTTTAGGAGAGAAAAGAAATCCCAAATGGGTGAAGGGAAATTCTTTAGAATAATCAGCTAAGACTGCCTTTTGTATGTATATGAATATTATACAACCCTGAGAATCTCTTAGGTTTTTACCTATTATTATTGTAAGTTTCAGACTATAATATGAATTAGATTTATTCATCCCCTACTCTGTCTTGGAAACTGTGCTAGATAAAAAAATAACTAAGATGTGATCCTGACTTTCAGGGAACTCATGATGTATTCTATTTTAGTCCTTCCTAAACCAGATCATAACAATCACCAGAGGCATGTGTCAAACATTATAAATCCTCAGGCCTAGCTAGCCCCAGGCTTAGGAAAACAGGATCTCCAGGGAAATCAGGAAGTTTTGTGAAACATCATCCTGTAGAACTATTGATGTTGAGCCCCTAATAATTTATTTTAGATTGAGGTATTTCCAGCTAATAGTAATTATTTAAACAAAACAAAAATGATACTTTTAAAAATTAAGTGTCTTCTATTATCTTTTTGATATGAATCTTAAGGATTCTGTTGAATGCCACTTTAGGCTATTCGTTCTCTTAGTTAGGTTATGAAATGCCATATTAAATAATGCTTTGGTCCATCTAAATCACTATTTTCCAACATTAAGAAAAACATGAAAGGATATGCTCATCATCTTTGGGTTATCTGGAAACATTCTAATTATTCTTAGGACAACTTACTTTTTTATTCTATCAAATACAAATCTTACCATTTTGTGAATCTGTTTATAGTTTTAGCTTATAGATTATATTCTTTATCTTAAAATGCACTGAACTCTTCTTATTTGCCTGAAATCTTAAACGGCTTCTTCTTTTATCAATAGCAGATAAAAATTTTTTGTAGAATGTTCTTTTTTATTGTTCTTTTGCTATGTTCTTCATGATCTTGTAGACGTACCTTATTCTTCTTTAATTTTTGTTTTCAGAATCGAATCCAAAATAGATAATAGTCAACTCTCTAATCACTTAATACCTTTTGGGGATCTGTTTAGATGCAGTTTTATTTAAGAAAGTACCCCAAATGTAGCTGTGCCAGTTAGGTGTAGGTTTTATCCAGATACAAAGCGTAGTATATCTGGTTTTAATATTGATACACTGTTTTATAATATTTTATATTTTTGTAATTTCACCAATACATTAGGTAGAATCAGAACATTAAGTTTACAGTGGTTCCAAGTTCTTGTACAGATTCTTCTCGTTCACCCAAATGCTAAATGATAGAATTTAGGCAGTATTGTCTACTCCCAGGGCTTCAGTTACAATAGTTTTCAAATTCTGTCCAGAATTGTAGACATGATCAATCTCTTTTCACATCCTCGATTTCTGCTGTCACAAACTGGATTTTCTTCTCTCTCCCATCCCCAAATCTATATGTTATAAGGTTTCTTTTCTCACTCAGAAAATGGCAATCCAGCCAACCCAGTTGCTCAAGCCAGACTTTTATCTTTCTGCCCATTCTTTAGTAACAGTACTTCAGATCTGCTTCTAAAACTATGTCTCTATTCACTGTCCTTTTCATTTTCAGTCTAAGCCACCAGGAAATCCTTCCTCCTCTTTTGCAGTACTTTATCATACTTGGTTCTCCATTTCCAAACATATTCCAGTCTGCCCAAGGGAAACATGTTACTCTATTTAGAATCAAATCTAATTACTTCTTCCCCTGCCTTAATGCCTTAATTTGGCACAGAAGGGCTTGCATGATCATCTATCCCATACCCATTTCTGTAGCCTCATCTTCAGGGTCTCTCCTTGTTGCTGTACAAAGACTTTGTATTCTGGGGCACCTGAAGAGTGCTCTTTCTTCTACCTATCATGCGTTGTGTCTGCCCTGCCCCCTTTCTTGTGAGTCTTAACAAACAGTATTTCTTCCACCTTTATCCTGATCCCTCACACTGATGTAAAGTCCTCTGTTATCATGCCTTGTGCTTCTCCACAATCCATCACACCAGTTTTGCTGTAATCGATAAGCCCCATAAAGACTGTAACTATATTTAATTCCCTGGATAGGTGGGTTGAGGAATATCTTTCCAAATATGGCTGGGATTTTTCTTAACCTAATTTTCACTTTTGTGCATTCCAACTCTGTCATTTCTGCTAGTCATATAGTATTAGAGACTCTCTTGGCCTGGGATTCTTGCCTCAAAATGGAACTCTGCCTCATTCACAAACTTGCTGAATCCTCTGCATACTGACACTTCCAGATCACTTATAAAAGTATTCAGTGTACTGGCTCTCTTAGATTAGTGTTTAGACTTCTAGTGTCTGAAATTTCCTGTTTATTTATATTCATTTTTTTCTGTCTAAGCCGCTTCTCTGTGATAAAACATATCCCCCATTTCCATGATGATTCAATATTTTGAATAGTCTCCATATGCATTTTGATTTCTTTTTGTTCACTCTGTCATCATTTGCTTTTCCTTAATTTTTTCCCTATGTCTTTTCCTGTTCCTTTATTTTCCATCTTACCTTTTTAGTGTTGACCACAAGGGTATGAAAAAATACTAATTCCTATAGTACAATTGGAATTTCATATTAGTATCAAAAATAAGTAACATTTTAAAATCTGAAATAAAATGTAGTCATAAATTTAATAGATTTTTTTTTAAACTGCTTTGTGCACAGTTTCATTTAAAAGTTTCAGTATTCCTAAAGGTAATTTGTTGGCAGATAAAAATTAGTAAAATATTAAGACCACATTGTGTGACAATGAATATTGTAAAATCCTCATAATTAAGTTATTTTCTGCTTATTTTCAGGAAGACCTAGTGTTTACCTTAGAAAAGTAGCCTTCTCCATTGTTGGCAAGTTACAGTTGATGAAGGCTGGAGGGTGGAGAAACTGGCAGAACATGGAATAGTTGTCAGTGGTATTTAATAAATGTTATATGAAAGTCATTTATAATTATGTTGCTTTTAATTCTAAAGGGAAATTCAAATAATATAGTCTCATTCTCTGAGGGTTTGTTTGGGTTTTTTCCCTGTTTTTTCTTGAAGTTACCATCTTGGCACCAGTTTGTCTTATTTTAGATTGTTGTTTTGTTTTGTTTTCCCTCTTGCCCTTTGTAAATTAGGGGGACTGCAGGCCATTGCAGAATTACTGCAGGTGGACTGTGAAATGTATGGCCTTACTAATGACCACTACAGTATTACATTAAGACGATATGCCGGAATGGCTTTAACAAACCTAACTTTTGGAGACGTAGCTAACAAGGTATGTTTTTATATGTCCATTTCTTAAGATGTCTGGGTCTGAGTCCTTTTACTTTCCTACACACATTTCACTGGTGTCCTTTCTGTCGCTTTCTTGGTTAAGTGCTGACTAATAAAGCACTGTACCTCACATCCCTCTGCATAGCCAATACCCATTCAGTTGCCCTGTGTTTTAAACAAAAGCCAAAGCACATCAATGGATGGAACATAATAGTGAAGTCTTAATTACATAATTGTTTTTAAAACACTGTTATTACAAATGAGAGCAAAATTGGAAAATCCTACTGACCAAGGCAAGTGCTATGCACACACTGATTTTATCCATATAAGAGGCCTCACTTTAAATCACTTTGCATGTAATTCCTTTTTTAAAATTCACTTTATTTTCTAGTTTGGCAAGGGAAGAACAATAGCAAAAGATGGCATGGTATTTGTCTTTGATCACAGGGATTTGTGTCTGTCTACCTTTGTGTGCAAAATATGAATTATGGTTAAGTGAAACAATACGAGTTTGAAATGATAATACTGTCCAGCTTCAGGTTGCCTCTAAGAACCTCTGCTCTGTATTCTGTTTCTTCACAGGCTACTTTGTGCTCCATGAAGGGCTGCATGAGAGCACTTGTGGCTCAGCTGAAATCTGAAAGTGAAGATTTGCAGCAGGTAAACATTATCATTTCATTTTTTTCCTAGCTATTGGTAGGTATGCATTCTGATTTAGATTAATTTAAACTGTGACTCATTGTATTTCATGTTGGAAAATGGTGTTATATTGTAGGAATCCCCTTTAGTGTAGCACATAAACATTGGAAACACATTTCTTTATTACTACTCTAAAACAGCATGAAATACCAAAAAAGCAACTAATACGATTCATTTTTTATGTGTAATTCTAAAATTGGTTATTTGCAGGTTATTGCAAGTGTTTTGAGAAATTTGTCTTGGCGAGCAGATGTAAACAGTAAAAAGACATTGCGTGAAGTTGGAAGTGTAAAAGCATTGATGGAATGTGCTTTGGAAGTTAAAAAGGTACCTTTAAAAACATTTAGTACAGTGGTACGGATTTTACTTTGTCTACATTTTTGCTGCCCTCTCCCACCCTCAAAATTGGCAGATTCTTGAACATTAAGGTGTAAATGATTGTACAGGGTGACTTAATCTAAATCAGGTTTTATCACTTTCAAAATACTATTGACATTTGAAAAATAATTCTGTGGTTTGGGTGCTGAACTGCATCATAAAATGTTTAGCAACTTCCTTGGCCTCTACCTATAAACTGCTTCCCAAATGGTAACAATACAAAATAACTCCAGGTAGTGTCAAACAATCCTCAAGGGGAAGAGAGACAAAGAATCACCCTTGCGTACCCCAGATGTATTACCTCTACACTGTACATTTCTGTTCCCCAAAGTCTGCAAATGTTGATGGCTAGCTTATTGAAAGTCATCATACCCCAAGAGTGAGAAATCCCTCAATAATAATTCGTGTATAGAAAAAAATATCTCCAGGTGGGATATCTATTTTAGGTACTAAGCTAATTTTTAAAATAAATAAATTTGTATTATAAAAGGGACCCAAAAAATCTGCTAAATTAGTCTGAACTTCTATCCCCCCAGCAGTCCTCCTGAGCCCACAGACTGTGTTCTTTTGTCAAAACTTCAAAGAAAGTGAAGGGTTTTGGTTTGGTTTATCAGTTTATTCTTGTGGGGTTTTTTTATAAGTATAAATAAGTATGTTATTTTAAAAGTTGAAAATTATTCAAAATAAGAAATGTATTCAACTAGTTTTAATGATAACTCTAGACCACTGCTGAATGGGCAAAAGGTCTGTACTGACATTTCAATGAAAAATATATGTAAGTGGTCAATAAACATTAAAAAAGAAAATACTAATTAAGCATTATGAGTCATCGAGAAATTCTAATTAAAACAATAATGTACCATTAAAGATAATGGTTAAATTCTTAAATATTGACCAAGCGTTGGCAAGGATGTAGAACAATTGGAACTCTCGCAGTTTGGGGTCAATGGGAAATTTGTGTAGAAAGTATAGTGTTCTGTTCTTACTGCACATCATCTATTACTTACATTTTGATTTTGATAAATATTTGTTACAATTGATTAACCAATACTGCTTAGTTGAACTTTATTATTGATTAAAGCCCATAGTTAATTACATTAGGATTCACTCTTCATGTAGTAAAAGCCATATGGGTTCTGATAAGTGCAGGTTGTTTCCACCATTAAAATTCCACTGCCCTAAAAACACTTCGTGTTCCATCTCCTCATCCCTCCTCCTCTTTCCTTGAATCTTGGCAATCACTGATCATTTCACTGTCTGTAGTTTTTCATTTGGAAGAGTAGTATTTCAAAGATCATTTCTTTTTAAAAAAAATCATTTTGTTGGGAGCCTGTACAACTCTTAACGCAATCCACACATACATCCATTGTGTCAAGCACATTTGTACATTTGTTGCCAACATCATTTTCAAAACATATTCTTTCTACCCAAGCCCCTGGCATCAACTCATTTCTTGCCCTCCTTCCCCTACACACCCCGAATAATTTATAAATTATTATTAT